CCCTACACCAGGTTGCACAGGAAGGCGTCCAGGCGGGTTTTGAACATCTCCAGAGATGGAGACTCCACAACCTCCCTGGGCAGCCTGTTCCAGTGCTCTGTCACCCTCACAGTGAAGAAGTTTTTCCTTAAGTTTATCTGGAACTTCCAGTGTTCCAGTTTTTGCCCATTGCCCTTTGTCCTGTGGCAATGAAAATTTCCAGTTAAGGAGTCGAATGTAGTGTGGTGTTTGCCTTTTGTCAGTAAGAGAATAACTGTTTTGGGTAGCTCTCATAAGTAAAATGAAGAAGATCAAAGTTTGTTTTGCATAGGAATTGAGTGTAGCAAAGAGCGATTGGAGCAAGTAATTTCTTGTGTGTTGTAGCCAGATGGAAGAAAACAACCTGGTTGATTTGATAATATCCTCTCTTTTTATAGTAGAGGTATAGGAGGATCAAAGCAATCTTCACCCAGAGTTGTTATTTCATTGCTGTGGCTGCCTTCCCCATTTTAAGGCTTGCAGTTCTCTGAAACTATGAAGAAAAATGTTCCAAGTGGAAATAATACCTACTTTTGTCCAGTTTTGTTAATGGTCTAATAATTTTCCATGGATTTAGTCTTTTGTTCTAAACTTGCTTGATGCGAAAGCTACATAGGACAAAACTGCCTAACAAAGTTCAGAGATGAAAAATATGCCTGTTCACGTTAAAGCTGCACCACAGCAACAAAGGAAACTTCATGTTTTATTTTGTGTCAATTTGCTTGATTTAAGATGTATAAATTTATTCCTTAGATGCCAAATGTCTGTTCAACTTGCAAGTAAATATTAAGTTAATTTTTAACTGAGCTGGGCCAGAGAATGGTTGGCAGGTGGTAGGGGAAGTAAACAAGAGAAACTAGGTCTCAAGTTCTCTATTTAAAAGTGGTGTTCAAGCTGCTACAAGACTTCCTGATACATATAAGGAGTCAGAGTGTGTTCAACCCGTGTTGAACTTCACTTTATACAAGAAAAGAATTGAGGAAATGCAGTTGTATGTTATTTTTTCCTTATTTTTCCCCCCTCTTGGTAAAAACATTGCATGCATACGTGCATACATCCACACAGCATCTCTGTGTGTGTATAAACAGGGAGCAGAATGAGAATAGCTCAAAAAGAAACAAAGTATATTGTTCACTAAAAGTTGTGGACTCTTTTTCTTTAAGTTTTTAGTGTCTTTAAGTTTTGCAAGAGTTATTTTTGAACTCTATGTGCAGACTTAACTATGTGGATAATTTACTAGGGCAGAGATTCCAAGCACTGGAAATATTCACCTGGAAGTTATTTTGAAAATTAAATTAACTAAATTATTAAATAATTGCCTACCCAGCAGAAAAAAAATCATCATATAATCTATTCCATGTATGCATTTCTGGTTTATTAGTCAGTGCCTTTAAGTTCAGTATAGGCCTCCTGGGGCAAAAAGCAGACACCTGCTTAGGCACCTGGAAAATATGGTGATAAGGGCATTGAAGATGCTTACAACAGACTGAAGTAAATAACGACGTTGTTCCGCGGGTGTGATTCAGATGATCCCAGTGCTAATGCGCAATTAAGTTTCCTGCAGGCTCGGTGTTTGTAGTGCAGAGCTCTGCTCTGGGTGCGGTTGTTTGAAGATAGTCAGTGAGATAATATTAAGTTCTGGAGCAGCGGTGTTGTGTGTTTTACTGAGAAACTAAAGTACGCGCTCAGGGATTCGAAAGCCGGTGCGTGCTTGCCTCTTCTGAAACCTGAGCAAGTCTTCTCTCACTCCTTTACCACATTTTTTTTGCCTTTGCCAAGTGGAGGTTGAGAAGGTTTGTACAAGTGCTGAGCTCTTCTGGAGATCAGCAGAGCAGTAACTCGAGCACAGCCAGGTCGGTAGCGCTGCGCATGAGGTCACATAGCATATTGTACCATTTAAAACCAAACAAGCTTAAGACATGCTATGCTGTTGACTTCATGTATATTCAACAGAGCAAACCCACAAATAAGAGGTTCCATAATCACAGATTTTCAGGAGTCTGGAACATGATGACTTGGTATCTTACTTGTGCTATGAACCACTTTTAGGAAGTCTCAGTTGAAGTCAGGAGGCAAGCAGAAGATTTAAAGGAAGATGGGGAGCGTATTTTCTCTAAAGTTAACAATCTGGATGAGAGGAACTGCACTGTAAGGTAAGTATTTCTTAATTTCTGGCTTTAAGAGATGTCTTATGGCAACTCCGATCTGATCTTTTCCTGACCCAAACTGGAAGTTTTGCTATGTTGACTTCAGAGTTTTTGCAATGCCTGTTTCCCTTGTTTCCCTCTTTCTCCCCACGTACTTCAACATGCATGACAGCATTAAGGTTGGGACTGAAATTTATGGGGACTCTAGGATGAGCTTGAAGAGGTTGTCAAGTGTTGAGTGCATTACAGTTTGTTCGGAGCCAGATGATTCTTATTTGTGTGCATAAAACGATTCAGATATTTTTCATATTTATCAGTTACAGGCTTTTGGTGGGGAGCTGGGGGGAGCAGGAAGGGGAGGCAGTGCTTGACGTTTTCCAAAACAATTTTGCAGTATTATCCTTGGCAAAGATGGTTGCTACTGGAACACAGTAGTGCTGCAAATTGGACTTTTCTCTCCTTGTGCCTTTACAGAATGCAGTACACGAACAGAAGCCACCAAAAATTTTGTTGCCATTTGATCAGCTCTGCCTTTCTCTGTTAATTCATGTTTAATTAAACTGTACAGTATTTTCAGACCCTTTTCAAATGTATGACGTTATGCACAATGCAGTTAAAGTCCTTAAATGTCTAGTGTGAGGGGGGCTGCCCCCCTCCTGGCCCGCAGCTTGCCAGAGCCCTTGTGCTGTAAGCAGCGATTTCAGCCATCGCTGGTGCTGCGGCTGCTTAAGTGGCGTGTGGCAGCTGAACTGAGATTGTGGGCAGCACGCTGCTCCTGCCAGGCTTGATAGCTCCGTTTTTTTTAGTAGAAGAAACACATGTATAGGAAAAAACAATTTCTACGGGCTTTCCTCTGTTCTGTAAGTGGTATTAATCTCTCAAGGAGAGAGAAGATAATGAACTATAGCAAACATGTACTCTAGTCATGACAGGAAAAGCTTGTAAAAAATTAGTATTTATTGTTGGTTTTATACAGTTGTATTTTGCATTGCTTATGGCCCGGCTGAAGAGACCATCTGCTCTTTTTCTAATTCTTTGTAGCCCTTTGTACTTACCATAGTGATTTCAAAATGAATAGCCCATGAGGGTGTGAATGTGCGCGCAGGCGTGTAGAGGGGAGATTGGGCTGGAGGGGAGGGGAGGAGAGGAGAAGGGAGGTGGCAGCACAATCAGCCGGGAGTAGCCGTGCTTCTGTAGGCAGACAGCATCCCTGGACAAGTAAAAGGATTTCCATCCACCAGTGCTGAACTCTAGTCACAAAAGCATGTGAATAGTACTCCTACGCCAGCATTTTAGCAGTGTTTGTGCAGCACAGTTCTTGCTCTGTGATCACAGAATCCATGAAAATCACATGACTGGGTACCAGTTGCAAAAACCTATTTTTATTTTTTTTTTTTTTTTTTTTTTTTAACTCAAAGCCTATTTTGGCATACTATTTCAGATGTTGTATTTGGGCATTTCACTGCTTACAGGAGGTTTTGTAAAATAGTCTCTTCTCAGTCTTTCACTCAGTGCTTGTGTTATGCAGGGGGCTTATATGTCTTCTGTATTCAAAAAACTAAATAAAATATCTCATTTAGGCATTTAATTCCTTTGTTGTGAACTACCACTGCATGATGATGAATGGCT